ACCCACACCCACACACCCACATCCACACCCACACCCACACCCCACACCCACACGCACACCCACACCCACACCCACACACCCACATCCACACCCACACCCACACCCACACCCTTCAAATCCTTTCTAGACCAGGCAAATATATTTTATATGGTGTGGATGCATTAATACGAGATGGCATTGCCGATCCCAAGAGACTCACGATTGGTGGGTATAGTTATGGTGCTTATCTAACAAATTGGCTTATCACTCAAACAACTCGATTCAACGCTACTATCTCTGGTGCTGGTGCTGGTGCTGTTGAACATGTTGCTAAATGGGGAACGCTTGATGGATCCTTAGTAAGTACTTACTTATTCGGTGGTTATCCATGGCAGGTACCTAGTTTATATCAAGCAGAAGCCACTATATTTCAAATCGACAAAGTTTATACACCCACTCACATTGTGGTACCTGGCAATGATGTGCGAGTCCCGTCGATACAAAATTTCATATTAGAGCGAGCACTAAATACTCTTAACATTCCAACAAAACTTATTGTTCTTCCAGGCGAATCTCATAACATCGGAAATAATCCATGGCATGAAAAACTTAAAATACGAGAAGAATTAAGATGGCTACAAAAATATGGCAATTCTTCTGTATCTCCGTCTAACGACACTTTGAGTTCAGCTATCTGCAATAAGCGAATGCAGATTCATACATTACTCTTTCCCGTACTTACTCTTTTTACTTATTTCAAAAATTAATAATAAATTTATTCTAATGAATAAACATTGTGCAGGACACATATTACTTCTAAAATGATTGTCTATCGAATGATTGATTCTTTTTAGTCGAACACGCAGAATGAAATTTCCTTTATAACATCATGGCTAGTGTTAAGCACAAGAGTTAGATGTTACACGCTGCTAAGGTTCCAAATCACGTGAGCTAGGCATAGAAAACTGATCTATGGATCATTGCGCTTCTGATCAGCCTAGCTTAATACGAAATGAATAGTTCCTGATCGCGTATGACTGATCCATCTGATGGAAAACTCTTCTCCAACATGGTCTCAATCTTTTTTTCAGAGTACTCTCGCATCTGCACCTTCATCTCTGGCACATTTTTTAAAAAGATCTGAATAATACTACATTTAAGATAACTTCTTGGCTGTTTTTCAGCTAGTCGTCGTCTTGTTCGTGTTTCGAATTAAAAGAAAAAATTAATAATGCATCGTTCACATCTCACTTATTGACATTTCAAATTTTCTTTGTCTATTCATTATCTTTCTATTTTTCTTCTGATATCAGAACAAAGACATGTTGTTCAACAGAAAATGGACAATGAATTGATTTCTTATTTACTATTGGAGGTAAGTATAATTATTCCTCGAAAGATAAAGTATATGAATTGCTTTGAAACAAACTGAAACGGTATAATTTTACTGTTTTTTTCACTTTTTTCAAAATTTCCGGTTTATATTATATAGTACTTATAATAAAAATGAAAAGTACAAATAATGCATTTGCTGCTTGATACGTTGCGAAAAACTTTAAAATTACATAAATTAGAGCAAGACATTCATTGTTTTTTAAAGCCCGTAAGTGATACTTGCATACGAATACAATCTGTTGTACAGAAATAACCTTTAAATAATTGTCTTATTACTGTAAGAACACGTTAATCTTTATCATTGTTTATTATTGCCAATAATCGAGCGTGATTAGTTCAAGACGTACAGTATTTAGCCACATTGGCTATTTTTCTATACTTGATTAAAGAAGTTGTCTGCCAAACTATTTTCTAAATTTCAATTCTATATTCTCATTTGTCATATATAGTCCATTTCAGAGTTAAATGGTCGTGGCCATTTTTTGAATAACTTTTGATCGGCTAAGGCTATCGAGCTCGGGGTTGTGTAGTTGAAAAGAGCGGCCTCCGACTGTTTATGCATCGATATGTTGTTTTTGTGTTTTCTCAACGAATTTTTTCGACATTTTAACTTCCATTATACGAAATTGTAGCCTGAATTCCGCTGTATACATGGTCAAATTTTAACATCTTCATATCGTCTTTTTGATTTCTTTTCTTGAACCAAATGACTTTGATGTAAGGTAATTTTGTTGTATATGCAGCGAAATTTCGGCTACAATTTGGTATAGTGAAAGTTAGAATGTAGAAAAAATTCGTTGAAAAAAACACAAACACAACATATCGACGTGAAACAATCGTAAAAAGGTGTCTGTGTACTCAAATGAATCGTACAGAAAGATGCCTCTGAGTCCGCTCTTTCCAACTACGCAATCCTGAGCCGGATAGTCTTGATTGATCCAAAATTATTCAAAAAATGGTCACGGTTATTAAACTCTGAAATGGACTATAGTCGGAGAGGGTCCCACGAAGTTCAAGAAGGTTTATTTCATAATATAGCCGCTAGCAATCGAGCAAGAATGTTCATCAGTTTGTTGAGTTTTCAAACAAAATATTAGTAGTGATACCGCTTGAGTCTAGAATGCCCGAATTGATATCAGACTAGTTTTCTTTCGATATATGATCTTAATTTGTTGCGATAAATGTGGTTACTATTCAAAATATGATTCAGTTTTTTGTACAAATTATCAGAACAAGAAACTACATTTGATCGATAGTTTGACGAAAGTAGTTTTTCGATGGATATTTTAGGATGTCGATTTAATTTTGTGTCGAGTATCGAATAGAAGGGATTGAGCCCAAATCTTTTGGACTCGAAACCAGCTTATAAAACTTTTTCGAACTCTTCAGTTTCTTCAGAAAAATATGTTCTTCTTGGGATAAATAATTGAAGCTATTTCAATGGAGTATCATGCGAGAATACAGAGAGGTCCATCTAACAATCTGTAGGTAAGTTCCAATATGTAATGTACTAGGCATATTGGAACTTACCTACAACAAACACCTCCTGTAAACATATAATATCATAGAACTGAGTGGAACCATGTAACAACCAGGCAGCAAAGGTGTTTAATCTGTGAGCTCAATGGTGCCCACCCACTATTCTATGACACTATAAATTATATGTTAATACCCGAAAGCTATTTCTATTCGTATTGTTTATAGACACATTGAGCATCAGCTGAGCTGAACTTGAGGCTGATTGAAGTGTTTTCGAAAACCATTTCTCACTGTTGGTCATCTGCTTACTTGTATGGTGACTACAATGAACGCATCAATAACAACTACCGCAATACAGAAACGCAACAACAACATCGAATCAATTGAATCTTCGATGTTTCAAACATGTGAACTCGTTCGAAAAGTTGAGTCAAGGCCCTCATCCCTAATTGCCCTAAAAACTGTAGAGAATATCGTTTTAAGAAAAAGCTGAGAAAATCTCTGTATCGCTAAAACCGCTATAATGAATGGCTTTCGATCACTAGATTTTCTCTCATTACAGCTGTAGTTCTGTATCACTTTGAACGGAATGCTAGCAACCTTCAACTATAAATTAGAAATGCGCATTTCAACCATGGATGTGGAATATCATTTCGTAGATAAATAATAGAAGAAGCAGTAGATGAAAACATTTATTTTGATAAATGAATTTTGAAGACTGTTTGTAGAATTTTCGACCTTTTCAGATTTCAAGACGGTCATTTTCAATACTTTGAACACTACCAAATAGACATAACCATATATGACGAATTGATAATATATCAATTGAAACCAAACATACATAATTTAATTTAACAGCAAAACCAAATGTTTTCATCTACTGCTTCTTCTATTATTTATCTATTAAAATTATTCGGTTTTTCTCAAGTTCTATCTATGTTAATTAAATACATATTAGCAGTTATTCTTGAGTTTTTTACAACATACACTGGTTATGATTATTCAATTATTTGTTGTTGATTGAAATATGGTTTTTAGGTTATGGTTTATTCCATCTTGAATTGGTTTTTGGTTTTGCTGTTAAATTAAATTATGTATGTTTAGTTTCAATTGATATATTATCAATTCGTCATATATGGTTATGTCTATTTGGTAGTGTTCAAAGTATTGAAAATGACCGTCTTGAAATCTGAAAAGGTCGAAAATTCTACAAACAGTCTACAAACAGTCTTCAAAATTCATTTATCAAAATAAATGTTTTCATCTACTGCTTCTTCTATTATTTATCTATTAAAATTATTCGGCTTTTCTGAAGTTCTATCTATGTTAATATCATTTCGTGTTGCGAAAAGATAAGAGCGACCAATAGCAAACCTTCATTGTCTACGCTGTTCATGACATCCTAAATTTAGCATCATTTCGTGAGGCACACGACAGTGACGAAAGATGTCCTTCGAAGAGTAAAACCTGCTCGTTATCTAATCTACTCTTGTTAATAACACCATTCATACTTTCGAAGGTTTTTTACCACAAAGAATCTACCTGACAAGCAAGTCCTAGAACTCTATCCAATAACAGAAATGAGATAAGAGTTCCCTTCACTTTCTCCTATCTTCAAGCAAGAAAAGAAGAAGACAAAAGAATCAGTTGTCACTCTCGTCGTATAATTGTAGCACGTAAGTCACTTCGAATAAAAAGTGCACCATAGAGAAGAAGAAGAAGAAGAAGAATACCCCGCCTTTCGGCTACCTTGCGGTAAAGGGTGCTGTCCGAGAGCAGTTTCATTAGCCCGATAGTTTTCCTACATCTATTTCTAAATGTAGCTCTGGACCGAAGGCCGGCCTGACTCAGAGTTCTCCCGCTTAATCACTTAAGCTTCCCGTACATACTGACTAACCACATACTAGCCACAAGGGCTTTTTAAAGTATGTCAACCACGTAGTCAATATGTTGTCGGATGGATGATCCGAGACAAAGCAGTCGTTAGTGACTTGTCCAAGGTCATTCTGTGACTGATAGAGCTGAGGTTCGAACACAGTATCTTGTGGATATGTGTCAAACATCTTAATCATTCAGCCATAGCGGCTTGCACCATAGAGACACTATGATCAAGATAGTCGAAGTTATATTTGACTTTTTAGAGTGTAATGGAAGACACTACAGTGAATGATAATGAACCAAAAGTTAAAAAACAAAAGAAAGAAAGCGATGAAAGTGGTGCCGTTTATCCTCCTATATTTGGTCCTGGGCATGCGCTTGATTATAACCTTTTTCAACTATCAAACACACCTTTAACCGAAGCACATCAACAAAAAGCTCTCGAACAGCTGGAAGTATATTTAAAAGCCCAACAAGAAACTTTCCTTGGTTATCAATTGAATGAAAACGTGCATTATTCGAAAAAGCTTTCATTCATGCTCGATATTCATACCAATAATATTGGTGATCCGTTTGTCAATGGGAATTGTACGGTTAATACCAAGATCATGGAACGGGCAGTGCTCGATTATTTTGCAAGGTTATGGCATGCACCAACGCCAAGTACTCCAGAGAATAAAGAATCCTATTGGGGTTATGTACTGAGTATGGGAAGTACGGAAGGAAATCTATATGCCCTTTATAATGCTCGAGATTATCTCAAAGGTAAAGCGTTGTATAAAGAACCCAATAGTGATTTAACTTTCGTTAGACCAATGAAAGCAAATCTTCATTCGAAAAATGCTTTTCATCCGATAGCATTTTTCTCTCAAGATACTCATTATTCAATTACAAAAATAGTTCGAGCACTTGAAATTCGAACCTTTTATGAAATAGGTGAAAGAGAATACAAGGGTCAGTGTCCAATCACATCAGATGGTCATTGGCCAAAAGAAGTTCCATCTGAAAATGGGAATGAAGGACCAGGTTCAGTCGATGTCGATAAACTTATTCAATTAGTGGAGTTTTTTGCTCGTAGCGGTTCTCCACCATTGATTATACTGAATATCGGCACAACATTTAAAGGTGCCTATGATAATGTCGAACAAGTGGGTCATCGTTTAAAACCTATCTTGGAAAAGTACAACCTTTATGAGCGTAAGGTCGAGCATGCTCCGGATAAATATGATATTCGTACAGGTTATTGGATTCATGTTGATGGGGCATTGGGCGCATCATATTTACCATTTCTTGAAAAAGCACGTCATCGTATACTTATAAAAGAACACATTCCCAAATTTGATTTCTCTTTACCATTTATTCATTCGATTGTCACGAGTGCACATAAATATCCAGGTTGTCCAATGCCTGGTGGTATTTATATGACCAAACATAAATATCAAATTAAACCACCTGATGATCCTGAATATATTGGTTCACCTGATACAACATTTGCTGGTTCACGTAATGCAATTTCGCCGGCCGCACTATGGTGTTATTACGCCAATACTAGCGATGAAATAGAAATCGCTAAAGCCATTAAAGTCGAAGAAACAGCCAAATATGCCGAAACAAAATTAAAAGAACTAGAGCGGAATTATCATCGTTATGGATACAAATTATGGGTAGAGCGTACACCACTTGCAATTACCATAAGATTTCGTGATCCATCCAATCCAAATAATAAAGATCCAAATACGAAAGATCCAGTTGTATTGAAATATAGTTTATCTCAAATGGAAATAAAAGTCGATGGTGAAAATGCACCGAGAAAATATGTTCATATTTTTATCATGCAAAGCGTAACAAAGAAGATCATTGACGATCTTGTTCACGATTTAGCCAATGCATATGATCAAAATTTACTTTCAAAACAAGAGAATGTGGGTGATCAGAGTGTGTCTGTTTCGAGTACAACTGAAAATCCACATATTCATCGTGTAACGCATGTACCGCTCGATAAACGTGGTTATTCTGGAAACTAAATTTAACTGTTTACAAATTCGATCATTAAATATCACTCGTTTTTCTTTTCTTTTCATTCAAATAGAAATGTATTGTGGGCATAGATCTTTGCTTCATCCTCACCCTAAAAAATGCAAAGGATTCAATCGATTACGAAGTCTCTTGGTGCTAAGTCAGCTTGACACGTTTATGGCTTTTTTGAACTTCTGATAACTAGTCATCGTCGTTGTCGAGCTTAATTAGGATAGATTTAGTTTTCACATTTACGGAAGGGGTGTGGGTGTGGGTAGTATTAGTTAATCATCCACACCCACACCCACACATAAATAACTTGTAATATGAACAACAATTATATACGGTATTAAAAGATCTTAATTTTGTTTGCAATAAACGAGAAATATATGAAGGATTAGTTTTTATTTGTTCATGTAAAATTCATAATAAATGACCATAAGTATTCATATGATTATGTACAATATCATTGAAAATCAGATGTATAGGTGCCTAAAACATATAAAAAACGTTAATTAATTAATTATTATGATCATATAAACTTTTTAACCAGAATTTGATTGATATCAACGGATATTTGTCGATATTCAAGTTCAATTGTTTCATTTAACTTCAAAAAATTATTCCATGATGTTAAACCAATATTATTGTTAACTGATGGATTAACAAGAAATTTTGATCAATAACAAATACATCTAAATTAGAAAAGATTATATTTCATGTTTGACTTATTCCAAAAATTTTACTCGATCTTACCATTCGATGCAGAAAGATGACAACATATATTTTCATCAATCATTTAACTATTTGGATTAGATTTAAGTTTAACAAACTTCAACAATTGTTCTAGAAGTTTTTTCTAATTTATCTATAAAATTTTAAAAAATAATTGATTTGATACCTGTGTCTCCACTTTTAGTAGCTCGAAAACGAATTAAATTGGAATGTGAAGTTGATAATGATGATGATATAGAATATAAATCGATTTTTATCTCTGCAGAATGATAAATCAATAACGTCTGTTGAATTATATAATACCATTTTCAGCAAATAAAATATGAATAATAGAACTAAAACAAAGAAAAGTGTAATGAAGAAGATATGATTAATACTATAAGTATATTTATATAAGAAGAATCTTAATGATAAATATTCACACAAATAGAAAAAGCATAGATTGACGAACGAGTTCGCAGATCCTCAATTATGTTCCGACGAAAAGCTAGTCGACAAGATCGAGAGAATAGAATACAGAACCACAAGACTATGTTTTTTTTTACATACAAACTACCTTTTAATCCTATTTTTGTCTCGAAATAAATAATAAAAAGAAAAAATATGAAGCCATGCATTAAATTATTTGATTATCGTTTCTTTTGTTTATTAGATAAGTAAAACACAACATCGATTTACTTGGTCAGATCGTTTTGTTGGACCAGTTGTTGTTATCGGTTTAATAATTCGATGTGAAATTCTTGTTTAACATGGGATACTACCAACATCATGTGTGGGTGTGGGTGTGGGTGTGGGTGTAGGTATTTCTTGTACAGCTGCCCACACCCACACCCACACCCACCCACACCCACATCCAGTTTCGGAGTTTTACGGAGTTGGAATCGGAGTCAAAAATATAGAAATTCTCGGAGTCGGAGTCGTAAAGAAGAAATTTTTCGGAGTCGGAGTCGAGTTTCGGAATAAAAAAACCTGACTCCGCAGGTCCCTAGTGTGGATAGATCCTTTCCATACCCACACCCACCCACACCCCACTCACACCCATATCCACACCCACACCCATACCCACGCCCACACCCACACCCACACCCACACTCACAGGGTGGGGTGGGTGTGGGTGTGGGTGTGGGTGTGGGTGTGGGTGTGGGTGTGGGTGTGGGTGTGGGTGTGGGTGTGGGTGTGGGTGTGTGGGTGTGGGTGTGTTAGCAGAAGTGATTCAAATAAGAATCAATCAAAATAGCTAGCAAGACCGGTTTCGACAAGTGCTAGAAGTACTTATCAATTGCTTTTTGACGAAAGAAGATATCTCCTACTGCAAGTGGTATCGTTAGAAGTTTTCGAGTGAAACTCCTAATGATGTTATATCTACTTAGATAGTAATTCAATTACAATAATGTATAACATTGGAATTACTTTTCGATATAATAATTAATATTGTGGACTTATCCGCTTGAAAATTTTGCACAAGTTTGGGTATTCTTAGTTGAAATTTTGTTGTTTTGAACTATGTTGGGTATGAATTTGCATTTTGCTGAACCCACAGCTTGAGTCTCCTGTTGGTACTGATAGTAGTTCAGTTTTATACCAGTACAGAAAGAAAAAGCAGAATTGTCCTTGACAATGATTAAATCACTGTTTGCCACTTCAATCGTATGACCGATACTCGATTTGTTGATTAATTATTTGATTATATGGCTGTATTTGAAGTGAACATCCTAAAACAGAAATATCACGTAGCAGCTCTTGTGTGCTTCTTTTTATTAAGAACAGCGGTTTTTCTCCTTGAGATATTTGTTTGTATGTGAGACCTAATAACAGTGTCAGCGATCTTATATGGGTGAATATTCTATTTATACCCTATATTTTTCGCTTCCTTACTTCACTGAAGCACTTTGGTAGATAGATGGATCAGTCGTGGTGATAATCTACGTTTATTGTGGAGTATTAACTATAATCTGGGAATGGTATGGATAACATGTACTCGATTCAAAGTGAATAAAAAACTGTGTGTGTTTCTGAATAGAACCTCATTTTCTAGGCTTACTTGATATTATAGAAACTACACATACATTGGATCATGATATTATTATATGCACTTTACAAAATGATTTTTTGCTCTGTCGTTCTTCCAAAGAAAATTCTAATATTTTTGAGATTAATCTTTCGTATCCTTACACACAAGAAATATTCAAGTTTTTTCGAACTAGATTTTCATGCAGTACAAGGATACCCTGAAGGATATCATACTAACAAAGTCCTTGTGCCCTACATGTAAATTTTATGAGTACTTCGTTTATTTTTCAAATAAAAGATAATTACAGAGACTGCTCTTGACAAATATCTTTTTCCTTCTTTACAATTTCATTCCATGATAGTTCATAATCAAAATCGTTCGAGTATCTTTAAACTGATAACTGACAATTGTGATCTGCAGTACAAAATACTATGGCAATTTCCTGATAACCAACATGAAGATAAAGCGAACTGAAGAACTGTAAGCATATTTTTTTCATTCATTTCTACACAAAAATAGAATTTTTTTTCTTTCACAGTATTTATTTGTGCGTAATCTCGTTGTTCATGGCTACCGTATTCCAAACAGATGACATTTCTTCTACTGAAACAAAGCAGCTTATTATTTTCATCAGAACTTTTTGAAAAAAATATGATCATGATTAATTCGATATTCATGTTTTTTTTTTTCTTTCTTGGCCGTGATGAAACCCTTTGCTTCTGTTCTATTCCATGATATATGTTGTCGAAACCCCAAGCATGCGGCAGGCGAATCATTTATATTTTTTTCACTGAATCATAATAGTTGCTTC